GGAAGAAGGGCTGGAACGTTTCTGTCTGCTGCGGGTAGTGCAGGGAGGGAGAGGGGATGGTGTGGGCTGTAGTTGAGGTTGGAGTGTCTGGGTTTAGAGTAGCAAAAGAATTTGACTGGGGGAGGTAGAATGTAGATGTGGAAGTGGGGAAGTAAGTAGGTATAGGGGAGGGTGTAGAAACATCTTGAGGTAAGGGGGGAGGGGCAGAGTGAGCGACATTACTAGAGTTGGGAGTATAAGAGAAACCTTGTCGGCGTGCTTCCTGTCTGGCTTCACGTAGAGTGAGACCATCTTTGAATCTGAGAGTTGCTACCTCAGATTCGAAACTTGTATGTGGGACAGCCTCTATAAAATACATAATGGGGGCCGCCGCAGTTAGCACATGTACGTGTTTGTGCAGAGCAGTTTGATTGGTTATGATCGGGTTTGGCACATAGGGGGTATCAGTCTGTGGGACAATACTATACACATTATACAGTATATATAAATATATATGTTCATATACACACACACATATATATATATATACATGCACAAACACACCCACACAAACAGATCATATAATAGGGCTATTGGAAAAGCTCACTGATAATCCTCTTTTTGCCTGTCATCACTTTATCCTTGGTCAGCCACCTTTCAATTTCAGTACAAAAAAATTCACAGTGTGTTATTAAGACAAGTGAATCAGTAGTGAATCTTTAAACACAAAGCCTTGTGTAATCAGCACAAACTATCACAAATCATAAAATCAAACACATCAATGAATAGCTCAATTTAGAATATTTACACAAGAATGGTACATCTGTGACTTATTGTTGTGCAGAAGCACTTTCCTATCAAAATCATAATATATAAAAATCTTATAACAAAAATATAATCTGAATTGGTGGTGTATGTAAGAAATAAATATATAGTAAAAACTCTATTATTTAAAAACCATAGTTAAAATACATTTGTGAACATATACATTATACACAATTTCAAATAAATATAAACATGTATTTACATCTTGTATTCAAATTATGAACATTTATTTTTTCTTTTACTTAACACATTGGACCCAGAAGACGCTGCTGTCACGTCATGGAAAAACTCGAGTCGAGGATCGGGTGACATGAACATGCCGTCAAACAGGCAAATTGGCCCCGAACTTGCTGTCACGAGCGAAGGCCAGGATGACAGAAAAGACTCGCCACAAGGACACAAACCTCTTGGGGTGTGATTTGACTCATTTGGTGCTTAGAAGGCTTTAGCATTATTCCCATTGATAAACAAATATGAAATGCAACTTGTGTAAGTAGTGACTGGAAGAGCACCAGTTCCAGGGAGGATGCCATTTCAATGCTGCACTTTAACCAGCGCAAGTTATATTACATAAAATTGAAAATTACGAAAAAATGAGACATATGACACAAATAACCAAATGTTCCATAGTTATTTATTACATAGAGAGATAATATGGAGTCTGTGTTAGGAACATTAGCTATTACCATCTGGATAAAGCAAATCAAAAGACAAATATGGACATTGGAAAATAGTAATAAAGCTAAAAAAGTTCACACAAAATAACTTTGCAAAGGGGAGGCACAGTCTTGTCACTGCTGATGGGTGTTCATGCATGTCCAGCCTACGCACCATATGCCCGGGATGTTGCCCAATTACGTAACCCATTGCCCATGTTTTCAGCACCATGATTTCCGTGACGTAACGGGATCCAATGGGTTAATAGATAATAAATTAATAACCTTCAAATACTGAAGACTTAGGGTGACAATGAATTGTAACAGTAATTTTTCTAACAAAAGCAGAAAGAATTATAACGGCTTTTGTATAATTTGTATTCATATAATAATTAAATTTTTTCTCAATAATGCTATTACCATTTGTATACATATTAACTTTGTAATTTTAAAAACCGCTTGTAAGAAAAAGTTTTTAAATACAAAAAATAATCAGTTGGTGAGAAAAATCTTAAATCAGATCAACATCACAATGATCCAATGAGCTGCTTTTTTAGAAGGGACATATTGATTCTGAAAAAGTTAGCATAGAGGTATATGGTCAGTTTTCACGTATCTATCACAAGAAACAATGCATAACGAATAACCATATAACCATACAAAGACACTTACTTCTGTATAAAGCAAAGATTTAAATGACCTATTATAACTACACCATTTTCTATATATTGAAGAATCCTGTGTATTTCACCCTGAGAATATATAATAATGAGATCATCATTACTACACAAGACAGTACATACAGATAATTAACAATATTAACATTCATCAATTTCTTACAAACGTGATTAATTAGGTTTTCTCTGAAGCACCATTTTTCCTATTTGCTTTTATTTAGCCAAGCATATTACTGCTCATCTAATATTTTTAGTTTTCAGTTCATAATTTTTGTTGATGTTGATGATGTTGATGTTGATGTTGATGTTACTGCTGCTGTTGTTGATGATGTTGTAGATGATGATGTTGTAGATGATGATGTT